ACTGAGCTCACGAAGTCTCGCAAAATATCGCAACTGCTCGCGAGATCTGTGTGACGTCAAGGGAAGCTGGCTTAGACATAGTGGACACTGACAGCGTGGGATGCTGGTTGCCATATTTGGTAGTGTAGCTAAGCTAACTCCTTTGTATGTATGGTGATATAGCGTCTGCCGAAAGAGCAACACTTCACCCGGACAATGTCAATATGCTGTTGTTCTTGAACAAGAACACATAGACTTGTACTCTTGCATATTGAGTCTTGTATGTACATCACTATGTATGTAGTTGTGTTGTGTAGTTAGTAACACATGTAGAGTTCTAGAAAAGACATGGTGTAGACACAAGTTGGAAGGGGGCACAATAAACCTGACGAGTTTGAATTTGAGTTGATTATGAGTTTATTTTCAATTGATAATTAGCTCACAATAAGTTCACTTTAGTTACTCACACAACTTGACACAAGTCCGGACTTATAAGTCCGGACCTGAACCTGAACCTCTGGACTTGAGTCCGGACCTGAACCTGAATGTGAGTCCAGGTACACAGCACTAGTAGGCCTACTACTACTTTTATCGATACCGCTTATCGATCCGGTGCTTTAACGGTACTTAAAAAAGAAGGTAAACTAACTAAACAAATTGTGAACAAAACTAACATTGCTTTTTATTTAAATTAAATACATAATATTTCACATCAAAAGAAACAACAATCGTATACATCGTATTAAATAATCGGATAGAACTGTAAACAGAAGAGCTGAAACTTTAACAAAATAAATAACTCGGTTACCTCTAATCATTAACCCATGTTTGTATAATTGAGTTAACTCCGTGTGTCGCTGCTAGCATTCACAACACCTGACGTGGAAACGTTACTCGTGGATGGGGGGCTACAGCGCTACCAGAAAGACAGTCGAACCCGGTGCATTTCTCCGTCTGAATGTGGTGCACTTTTGCTAAATGTTTAGACAAATTGCTTGTGTTACCGGCGCCTTTGCATGCTAAACTCTTATTGCACTTTTGGTAACGAGCATCGAGACGGGTAAAGTTTAACCACACCTGGGAGCGCGTTCTCTCTGCCATCTCCTGTGTGTGTGTTGCTGCATGTAGCAGCTGCATGTGTGTAAACTGCCCCGCCCCCTCGCAAGCAGGCGGGGATTGGAAAGATCTAAAATACTAAAAATAATCATCGACGCATTTTGCTGTCTTTTTGCATATTAGAAACGGAGTTGGCGACACTGAAACTGCAATATAATGTTTGTGTAGCAATAATACATATGACAGATATGTACCGACCGATAACGTCGGAGCTTAATCGTACCACGGTCTTTAATAATTCAGCCCTGGGGCCGTTTAATACCGGGGCTCGGTACCCATCCCTACACATGACTGGCTCAGCGGCCACAGGTTGTTTATCCTTGACAGTCGCACAGTGGGCACACACTGAGAGAGTCTTTTCATATTCAGCCAATGTGTACACGCTTCACTGCAGACCTCAAGAAGAAAAAAGACTTTAATTCACTCACGGCAAAACTTACTTTACTTACTAATTTACTCTCGGGAAAAAAATGCACTCCCTATTCCATTGTCATGAAGGTGGAATCTAACTATATCCAGGATAAGTTTTATTGGATCCAGGCTAGAAACATGTTTATTTCTGCTGTAAAGTTGGGCATTTTAATATGGGGGTCTATGGGAATTGCTCCTTTCTGCATCCATCCCCTGTCGGCCACTAGATGAACTGCAGTTTGTGGCACTTCCTTCTGGGCTTGTCAGGAACGTCAAAATCGCTATGACGCGCTGATTGGCTGTGGGTGGGCCAGACGTGCATGTGGGTGGGCCCAGGCACCCGGGCCCACCCACAGCTACGCCACTGGGGGCAGGGATGATGTTTTTTCACAAACCGACAGGGTTAGTATCGAAAGTGCTCCCTCGGCAAGAAGCAATGGGATTTTCACACTGAATTTCCGAATATTGTAGAAAATAAGAATAAGAAGTCACTTTTAAGCAACTGTAGGTTTTTTTGACACTCCAGACATTCTGATGTATTGAACAAAGTGTGGAAATCTCTTCAGCTTGTTTTAAACCCAGATCTATTAGTTTTACGTAAAATACCAAACACAATTGACTTCGAGCTGAGAGAACATAAAATGCTGACTCATTTCCGGTTTTTGAGATTCATTCGTGCAACACTTTATTAGTACCAAATATAAGTTATACGGCAGTTATTTTTGGCAATAGAGTGATAAAGCATGTGTGAAATAATTTAGGATGAAGGCAATTGTACTCTTTTTGCTCAGTATTTTTATTACTATATTTATATTTGCTTTTTCAATATGGCCTTTTTTTTTTAAACACATGACAAATTAAAACAATTTGTAACACAAGCCGTGCTGCAATCATGTTTGGCTGTTTGAAAGATCCTGCAGGTGGCTCCAGCTGATTGAAACTTGTCTGCTCAATACTGAGGAACCAAAGTCCCTCTCCACCATTAAGGTTCCTTTACCTCCGAGCTTCACTAAGGCTGTTTTATGCATTAATCTGCTGAAGGGGGTTGTCGCTTTTAATCTCATTACTTCATTTTCCGTAGCCGAAATTAAGTACTTGATACTATACCAGTTTAAATGTACATGTTTCTTGAAACCAATTTAGTTCGACATAACAAAACAAAGTATTACATCCCATGTGCTTCAACATACCCTCATGTACAACAGTTTGCATACTGTGTTCTGTTCAACAGGTCATAACTCTACCTATTCTATCAATATATACTTTTTTTTTACTAACCCGGGGGAGTGTGGGAGAAAAACTCCCTCTGGAGGGAACACAGGGATTGTAGCCTTTGCAGACCATTTAAATGCATAACAACCTATTGAACACACTACAGGAAAGGGACCCCCTCCCAAAAAATGTATAGGGCCTCTTTAAATGTACGATTAGAGGCTTGAAAAGCAAGAGGCTGAACCCCCCTAAAAGTATTCCTGGTTCCTTCTATCCATGTGTAGAGTGCCTTAAAAAAATTAACCTAAATTAAACCCAAAAAACGTTTTCTGAAATTTGACACCCTGTTCCAGACTTTAAATTTGACCTTGTTTTCACCTTGGATTGACATGATCATGATTTAACTTGATTTTGTCCTCTATCTCCCCAGCTGTTGCCATGACAACAGACGAGGCAGAGAGTCACCAGAAGAAGCCGAGGCAGCAGGAGGAAGCCGGGCAGGAAGCAGGATCTCCCCCCCCGGAGGAGGAGCAGCTCCGGCCTCGCAACCGCAACTCTGCCGGCCGCGGCCTCTCCCGCCTCTTCTCCTCCATCCTGAAGAGGCGCTCGCAGTGTGAGAGTGAGGCAGGAGAGAAGGAGGACAAGGAGGAGAATGAAGCCAAAGCCCCCATCGCTGACCCCGAGCCTGAGCTGAGGACGGAGGGGGCCCCGGACCGCCACTCCATGAGCAGCGCCGATGCTCAGGTCAGCTGCACACACACCTGTGTTTGATCACTGACTCTTATTATTTACTGATGAACCATTTACATTGTATTTTTTAATCCCACATCTTCAGCATTTTGTGTACTCGTGTGGAACTCCATCACATTGTGAAGGAGCTACGAGACAAACGCATAGTCTGATAGATGGATAAATAGATATATATTTAATGATCCAAAGTTGCTAAATTGTTTAATCGAAGCAGCATTTTGACAGTCAATTTACAAGAATTACAACATTTCTTAAAAATTTTTAAAAAAATACAAATAAAATAAAGATAAGAAATTAAAAAAAGAATATACATATTCTCAGTAAAAAATAGATATATTCAAAGAAGTATCTCTATATAATTTTCAGAATACATTAGAATACTCTCTAATATACCAATCTAATAAACATATATACATAGTGATACTAGGAGTGAAGCAGGTAGGACCCAAACGCAGATAACACTGATAATACCTTTATTTCAAGGGCTCTTATCTAACATATCACATGGACAAACAAAACACTCCACGGTGAACTCGCTCACAAACAAAAGACGAACCAACACTGAACACAGGAAGAGACTAGACTAAATACAGGGAGGGGTAATCACAAGACGAGAAACACCTGGGCAGGGGAGGAGAAACACAAGGGCCACAGGTGAACACAATCAGGTGAAGACAACTAGACACACCAGGGAAACTAACGACAGGAGGAAAAACACAGGGAGAGGGACCAGACAATAAGGAGGAAAACATGACAGGGTGAACAGCAAAACACCCAAACCTAGACATAAAAACGTGACATAACATGAATATCGTGACACATGGTGTACTACTGTATATACATAACGTTTTTTTAAATATACGGTATAGTAGAAGTAGTAGTATTACAGTATGTGAAAAGTGTTAATGCTTATAGAGGGGAGAACCTGAACACACTATGAAGCAGTGAGTTCTGTTGCAGGAATCAGAAAGCCCGTAAATTAGTTAGCATTTTTATGTTTTTTTGGTTACATATCTAAAATAAGATCTGTGCTTAAGACAAGCTGAAGAGATTTTAATGTTTTGTTCGATGACATAAAATATGTCAGTAAATATCCCACTGATGAATGTCTGAAGCTTCAATGTGTCATGAAAATAGCAGTTGCCAACAAGTGGCTAAACAACCAAACACAAGTTATGTGACCGTGATCTAGTTTGTTTTTTCCCTAATCTAAACATTTTTCACTTCTAATGATTGCATTTACGCTTCCGAAATCATAAAAAAGGTGTTAATTCAGCCTACAAAGATACATTTTCACTTCAGCACTATTACTGGGAACGCATGGTTTGTTGCAGGACTCTCTGACAGTCCAGGGGGCGTATAAGCAAACAATCTATGAAGAAGATAGAAGTGTTAATGAAATAACTCCAAACCCAATACGGCTCCTCGATGCAGAGAAGGAACTGTAAATAACTGTAAACTCATATCAAATATTCATAGACTTTATCACCTCCACACACTCCCTGTGAAGAAGGGAGTCAAACAATGTGATTCTTCTGGCAAAAAATTAATAACTCCAAATTGTTATTAATTTTAATTAATTAAATTAATTGTTCTCCTATTTCAGCATTTGAAAACTGCTTTTTAAGATTCTTGAGACATATGAATCACACTAATACATTAATTAGTATTCTGTGGCATGCATATTTGTATTGATAATGAGATATCAGACCTGACCCGTCTAAATAGATGATTAGAGATGGATTAGAACCATGGAAGGTGGTGCGTTAGTAATCGTACTCTTCAGCGTCACTACGTCAGTGAGCTGTCTGTAACAGTCTCTACAGGGTCTGCCCCATGATAACATGTAGCGTTTATCTGCTTCCTGCTCTGTGTGTGAGCCTCCCATCCACTGCATACCCACACAAAGAAGTATTGGGTTAAGGCTCTAAATAAAATCATTATTCATTTAATAAAAGTGGTATTTCCAAATGTGACAACATTTATGGATGAAATATAGGTATCCGTTGAAGAATTGATCAAAGCAGCGAGATTTGAAACATTACCATTAAGGCACACAGTTGACCTTATTTGATATCTTTAGTAAAACACTCATGTTTCATCAGAGGCTCATTATCAACAGAGTGTAACCTGTACTGTCTGTCAGGCGGCCCAGGTAGAGAAGAAAGAGGCAGAGGAAGAAGAGGGTGGAAAGGACAAAGAGAACAACAAGGAGAAAGAAGAGGAGGCTGTGCTGAAGAAGGAGGAGAAGATGGAGGATAAGGTGGAGGAGAAGGAGGAGCAGGAGTGTGGGCCTGAAGGAGGCAGTAAGAAAGACGAGGAGGAGAAGACCGCCGAAGAGCATGCCGAAGCTGCCAAAGCTCCTCACAGACCCAGGACCATGCAGATCAAAGTCAACCTGCTGGACGACGCTCTGTACGAGTGTGAGCTGGACGTAAGAGCAACCTTTTATTCTATCAAACTACATTTCATCTGCCAAAATGATTGAATTGTGTGCAGCCACATGCTTTTGATGAAAGTATTCAGGCTTTAGTCTAGTTGCCAGCTCATAGAGTCCTGTTGTGAACCTGGAAATGTGGAGTAACATGAAGTTTTATGTTAGAAATGTATAGTAGGGTCTCCAGCACATGTCGGATGCTCGCTTGCATATGTTGGGCAATTTGCACAATTGGTATAAGTTGCATTAATGACCATTATAGCATATGCAGACAAAAGTAAAAAAAAGGCTTCGCCGATTTGGACAGTTTTGGAGGTTATTGACAATTATTCTGACAATTTAAGAAAAAAAAAGTGGCCATGTTTGTATTTTGGGTCCATTTGAAAGTTTTAGTCGACTCAAAGGTCCAAAAAATGTTACCGTATAATCTCAGAAATGGATTCAACCTTCTCAATATAACTAAAAAACCACACCAACATTGTCCAACTCGACCAAGCCATTTTTCAACAATTGTCTGCATATGCTAATTAATGCAACTTATGCAAATTGCCAAACATGTGAGTTAGCATCCGGCAGTTCATATGTGCTGGGGACCCCTACTATACATTTCTAACAAAAAAAGTAGACTACCGTAATTACCAAGTTTTATCAAGTAAGACAAAGTTACAAACATTAAAACGTAAAAAAATACAAAGGTTATAGAGCAGTAGTTGTTACACCAGGTTTACTTTTATTCAACCTCGGCTCATTTGAGACAAAGAATTTCATGCAAGCATTTTCAGTTTGTTTGATAGAGTTGGATAAACTAAAGAGATGTGAAAGCCTCACATGGTTGGAGGCAGACATTTCAGAGACTGATATCTCCAAATCTGGACCAATTAAACCAAAACTGTCTGCATGGGTGCATACCACCAGAGGGATGGGAGAGAATGTTAGTTTGAAAAAGTTCTGTGAGTAAAGCCTACAGAACAGAACAGTTTACAGAGAAGAGATAACATCTGATCCTTTTACAACAAACACTATTATCCTCTTTTTAGGTTTTACTTAACTTCCCGTCTCCAAACCCAATGAGGAATGTCTTAAATCTCTCCTCAAACTTTCAACTAAATTCAGTGCAAAACCTAATACTAATGACACGCCTAATATTCTGTCTTCTTTAACACTAATCTGATAAACCATCATCTTTGTAGTAATCATATTCTTTAGAGGTCCTGGAGGAACATTTGAAATGCTCAATACGGACCACCACTAACTTTATGAAGCCAGCAGACAGATTCTGTAATGTTTGCGTGTGGCTCTGCTTCAGTTCTTACCTTTTTAGCCACTCAGTGTCTTGTTCCTTTATTCATATGTGTCTCAGAAACATGCAAAAGGCCATGAGCTGTTCATGAAGGTGTGCAACAACCTCAACCTGCTGGAGAAAGACTACTATGGACTGGTGGTGTCTGAGACGGCCACAACCAAGGTGAGCTGGATTTGAACCAGTAGAAGTTAAACAATCCCACCTCATGATTTAATGAAGAAAAGAAAGGGCAACTCTTTAATGTACATGTCATTGATGGTTAGATTTGCCTCAGTTTTAAAGGACTGAACATGATCCATGATATCGAACCTCATGCCCCATCCCTCATTTTTTTTATCAGACCTGGATGGACCTTACCAAGGAGATCCGCCGGCAGGTACCAGGTGAGCGGAACCTCAACCACAAACAAACCTTCTTTTCTTACTTTTATCTTGACACATATTTTATCACATCTTCATTTTCTTTCTTAGGTGCCACCTATAATTTCAACTTCAATGTGAAATTCTATCCACCGGACCCAGCCCAGCTATCTGAAGACATAACAAGGTACTGCACACATCAAACTGATGAATCAAATAATATATTATTATTCTCCAGATGACAGGATAATGTTAGGATAGGAAAACAGTGCACAGGGTAATCTGTGGTCGAGTGCATGTGTGTTTCCAACAGTATCATCAGTCAAATAACTCAGAGACAAACATTAAAACAATAAATGTGTAATTTATGCAACATATTAGTGATTTTAGCCTGATTGGAATACACAGAAATATCTGTCTCATGGTTCCCTCGTCTTGAAGTCTTTTAAACATGTTTTTCGTTATATGCCTGAAATAAGGTCTGTGGTTAACACAAGAGATTTTATCGCGTTGTTTTACAACATTACACTTGTCAATAAATGTCTGAAGCTTCTCTGTGTCTTAAAAACTGTGTTGGCTGAGAAGTGACTAAATGAGACCTTTAGCTTAGCATGCATGTATTTGTTTAAAGCCTTTATTGCCATTAGGTAAAACAGCCTTAACATTTAGTTTATATGGTTTCCTCCCCTGCTAGTTTGCGCCGCTTAGCAAAGCTGTCATCTGGTTGTTTGTCAAAGTTCAAACTCAGAGCTCCCCACTGAGATCATGTGACCCTGCTGCAGGTACTACCTGTGTCTCCAGCTGAGGAAGGACATCCTGCAGGGGCGCCTGCCCTGCTCCTTCGTCACGCTGTCCCTGCTGGGATCCTACGCCCTGCAGTCGGAGCTGGGCGAGTTTGACCCCGAGGTGCACCCCCCCAACTATGCCAAGGAGATGAAGATGGCCCAGGGTCAGACCAAGGAGCTGGAGGACAAGATGATGGAGCTGCACCGCACATATAGGTCAGAACTCAGGGACACCAGTGCTTCACTTTCCTTACCTAATCAACTAAGTCAACGGATTTGTAAAAGAGTAATGTTGTACCCCGTATTCAACATTTTTCATCAAAAGGACATAAATATCGTCTGCAAAATGCAACTGAGGTGTCCAAATGCAAGGTGAGGAAAGTTGAAAGCATTAACACATAGTGCAAAATATTAAATTACATTCAAATACATTGTAGCTCCCTCCAGTAAATGACACGAGGCAGAGGTCTTGATTTAAAATACAGGGTTTCGTGGGACCTATTCCAACCCGAGAGAACTTGGTTATATAAGACAGACAAATATATGGTCTTATTTTTATCTTGGTTTTATGGAGATCATTGATAGACATGCACCCCTGCGTACATTTAGAGTAAAGGGACGAGACAATCCTTGGTTTTCTGCTGAGCTGTCCAGTCTCCTTCATGAGAGAAACAAGGCCTGGGCAAAGGCTAGGAAATCAGGCTCAGAGGTAGAATGGCTGCGTTTTAGGCAGCTAAGAAATAGCTTCACTTCACATATAAAAAGTGCTAAATCAAAGTACTATCTGTTAGTAACCACAAAGGATCTGAATAATCCTGGAAAATGTTGGAAAGCCATTAAATCGTTATCCACCGGTGATATCCGTAATGAGCTACCTCCGTGCCTCACCACAGCATCTGGCTCTATATCGGACAGGGCTACTATACTAAATTGCTTTAATGAGCATTTTGTTTCCTGTGGCTCTCTGTTTGATTCTGTCACTAACTTTGCTTTTGTGAACACTACAGTCTGTGACTCTGAAAAACGTGTGTTGGAAAACCCTTTTAGTTTTACTCCTTTTACTGTTGATGTTGTTCGTGAAGCTTTAACAAAGTTAGATCCTAAGAAACTGGCCGGCCCGGACAACGTAGAACCTTTATTTTTAAAGATAGCTGCAGAATTTATTGCTCCACCTCTCACTACTCTTTTTAACCTCTCCCTCAGCACAAACACAATTCCAAAATTGTGGAAGTCAAATAATTATTAAATAATTATAGGCCCATCTCTTAATTATCAGTTCTTGCTAAGGTTCTTGAACGCCTAGTGAGTGAGCAGGTAAAGGTGTTTTTATGTACAAATGACATCCTGTCTAAACATCAGTCAGGCTTCAGAAAGCAACATAGCACCATCACTGCCACAATGAAAGTGGTGAATGATGTGGCGAGTATTTTAGATAATAAGCAGAGT